GAGAATCTTGCCCAAGGCGAGCAAACAGACTTTGGTACCTTGACTCACTACATAAGACAGAAATTATCTGCAGTTACTGGTATCTTTATTTCCCTCCTTTTAACCAAGCAAGTATAATTTGATTGATTTTAGTTAAAAGTACATGTCATGTGAATAGTCTTTTCTCTCAGAAGGCACATTTAAATATACAACCCCCACCCCCAAAAAACCCAAACTCTGCCAGCAAGAGGATTCTGACTCAGTGAAGGAACACACTAGAGGCCAATTAAAATTCAAAGTCACACAGATATTGAGGCAAACCCTGGCACATTTGTGCTATACATTTGGCAATAAGAGATCACTATAAATGCTTAGCAAGTAATTCTAAAGTATCTTGATTATCACCATGTATCACTGTGAAAGATAAATTAGAATTTGGTGACATTAATTCAGGTGTGAGAAAATGGGCATTAACTTGTCACCATAACTATAGTTATGACATGAGGCAATGCTATTTTTCCTCTTAAATGGTGTTACTCTTTTAATTCATAACATTCTAAAGGCATATTTATTCATCTGAATGTTGGTTTAAGTGTAGCACTAAAGTAGCAACCAAATGACACAAGAAACCATTTTTCAATACCTTACTGATCAATTGTTACTTTTATATGTGTCAAATCTAATAAAAAAAATCATTTGCTATCTTTGTCCTGAAAGTTAAATCATCTACAAACTACTAAATTTGAGACATTTTAAACATGAGAACAAGCTTTAAAGAATGCTGTTTCACAGGATTATGATTTCAGGTTAAATAATAGTAACTTGAAAGAATGCTTAAACGGGGTCTAAGACTTCTTTGTAAAACTAAATATATGTGCATATACACATATATACACTTACAAACATCAACAAACTAAATGGTGTCCTTTCCTGTGCCATACCCTGGACCAATTGGGGATTGTGATCAAAGAGTTTCACTGGGTGATTTTTGTTAGCACACTGGCAGGCCTTTCTTATTCCATCTTGGTCTGCAAACTGCCTAGCATCATAGCAACACAGAAGCACGCAGGGACTGATGGGTGGCTGGCTGCTCACTGACCAAGAATTGAGCCCAGGGCTCCTGCAGCAAAGACAAGATTCATGTTTTCTGGGAAAAAAGTACCAGTTATATATTTAAAACACATTAACAGTGTAGACTGTCCCAGATGTTTACCACTGTAGGAGCCTGAGTGGCTGCTCAGTAGTTCAAAGCCACCATCAGCCACTCTGCTCTGCAGAAGGAAGATGAGGTTTTTTTTATTCCTGTAGAGATTTACAGCCCAGGAAACCCACAAGGGCTGCTGAACTCTGTCCTATAAGGTCAAAATGAGTCAGAATGAACTCCATGGCCGGGAGTGCAAGCAAGCACTCAAGGAAAATGTGTAGCATAGAAGTGCTTATGAACAAAAAAGGAAAAAAAAAAGTGCTTATGATAGATTTGTGAGTCATCAAAATTTAGGGACGATGTAGCAGCAAAAGGAGACTGAAAAAAAATCAGAGGGGCACTCAGGAAATTAAAAATCCAATGGGGAAACAAAACAAAACAGAATGTGATATCCTAGAAACCACTGGATTAGAGGACAGAGTGCAGCAGTGTCGAGAACAAAGTTAGGTCTAGAGAACTAGGTTAGAATAACGTCCCTAACCACTGAACCACTGAAGTGTGAGGACAAACTATTTAGTATAGGATAACCCATGTGTAATATTAAAAACCAAAAACCTTTCACTGGATGCCTTATCATTAGATTAAAAAAAAGACTTATTGAATCAATAATGCTTTTACATAAATGCACATATTTTTAAAAGCCGTTTGTTTGAAAAACAAATACCTAAAACATTTGGTACAGCCAGGAGATCATGCTCACTTTCTCTGTCTAATCCTTGTGATAATTCAGGTTCAGAGATGAAGACCTATAGCAGGGGGTCCTCAAACTTTTTAAACAGGGGGCCAGTTCACTGTCCTTCAGACCCGTTGGAGGGCCGGACATTACTTAAAAAAAAACTATAAACTTATGCACACTGCTCATATCTTATTTTGAAATAAAACAAAACGGGACAAAAACACTAGGTGGGCCGTAGTTTGAAGAAGCCTGCCCTACAGGAAGGCGATCTTTAAATTCTTCACAACTTTGAAAATCTATCACACTAAAGAGAAATGACTGAAGCAACAAATGATACATCTTGGAAATTTTCATGATTAAAAATAGACCATGGTTTAAATATTTTAAACACCTCAATCTCAAGCTAACAAATCTAATTAGGTTTTTCCCCCCCAGTGATATCTTCATTTTGCTTTAAGAAGCACAATCTTGCTTCTTAAATTTGAAGAATCTTTGGTGTCCTAGAAATAAGGGGACTAGATATAATCTACAGTGTACATTAGGATCTCAAACCCAAAAGAGAACCCAATAAAACTAAGTTTATTAGACAAACCAACACACAAAAATCACTAACTTTACATTCTCTATTCTGATATTAAACCCTAAACACAAAATACCTGTCCATTCCTTCAGCCAATTAAAATTCAAATGAAGAACAGCTACAGCACCAGGACTTTGCCATCTTCCTATCAGTTAGAACAGGTGTTTCCTTTTACAAAATCACCAGGTTTGCCAGATTAAAGGAAATAGTGGTTAATGAGTAGCGCGCGCGTGGCTGCTAATTTAAGGAAAAGTCAGCGGTGTTTAACCCATCCACAAGCTTTAAAGAAGGAAGCTGTAGCAGTGTGCTTCCATAAAGATTACAGCCTCCGAATATAGGGCAATTCTACCAATTTCTAAAAAAATTTCTAAGAAAAACTTTGGTATCCTTGCAACCATCTAACTTGATTGAGTAGGGGTCAGGAAACTAACTTGAGCGAGGCTAGTCGTTGGCAAAAATGCAGTATCTTTCGGGTACTATGTCCTATTGGTCACTATCAGGTTATTCCAATAAAAAGCACTATCCTATCTCCAACCATGGAATATAATTAGTGACCAAATGTCAGGTTATTCCAATAAAAAGCACTATCCTATCTCCAACCAATGAATATAATTAGTGACCAAATGTCAGGTTATTTCAATAAGAAGCACTCTAAAACTAGATGATATGATTAGTGAACAAATTTAGCTAGAGTCTAGATAAAAGAAATTTTCATTAAAAAGGGCATTGTTACTTACTGAAGAATTATGTAGCAACTTAAAGCAAAAATCATAGGTATTAGCCAACAAATTTTTGCAAAGCAAACAGCATTACCAACTTTTAGGGCTGGAAGCAATGAAAAATCTAGTGTTCAAATCCTCTTATTCTACTAGGATACTGCTAAGGTTAAGATCAAACCACTTTCCTGATATTGGAGAGGCCAACCTGAATTACACAACTCCTAATTTTTAAGAGTCTATCAACCTTCTATCACGATGTATCTTTTTCTACATTTTGAAAACCAATGTTTTATTCTCCCTAAGAAAGCTACATCCATGGCCTATGTCTGGCATACTGTAAGAGCAAAACTAAGTCAGTTCCATCCCACATCAAAACTGCTTGTAAAGTTCATTTGACAACTTAAAAAAAAAAAGCAAGCTGTCTCCAACCTGAATGTTCTTAAATTTGGTCTTAAATCTTAAACTTGCATGTGCATATAAATCTGTGCTTCTCAGCCTGAGATTTATTTGAAGGAAGATTTCTATGGAACTTTGGTTTACTCTGAACACAGTACCCATTCCAATCTAAGATGCAGATAAAATGCTCCACCTGAACTCAGCATTGTTAAATGCCGTCAGAGCTAGAGCCCGTGGAGCTACCAGAAACCAAAAGGGTTTAACAGCGTCATGAAAAAAACCCAGCCAACTGTACAAATGTGGCTTCAGATGTTGGGCTACACTGTACTACACTGGGCTACACTGTGGCTTCAGAACTGTACAAATGTGGCTTCAGATGTTGGGCTACACTGTCCCCCACCCCCTTTAACAAGTTAATTCTGACTCATACAGCACAGACCACAGTAGGTTTGAACATGTACATCACTCGGTAAAACTTAAAAAAAAAAAAGCTTCCATTCCCCCGCCACAAAAGCTTAAGAGCTCATTTCCATAGATATTTTTCTAAAAACGCTATTTTACTCTTCAGAAGTGCATTTTTGTTTTGGGGGCAGAGAGGCATATCGATGGTCTTCCTTTCAGTAGATTTTGTCAGTCAACGGTTCCTGTATTTCTTCGCGCTCCCCCAGTCCCTCCCACAAAGCACCCCTTTTAGAAAGTTGAATAATCCGTTATTTCGATTAAGTTCTAACCCTTGCAAATCAAATCAATTCATACCCCTCGTAACAATTGTTAAGGCTTCCTTCACTAAGTGCAATCACCTATCTGCAAATGTCTCCTGGACCGACATGAATGATAAATGCTGTGTCACTAAGAAAGGCAAAGATTTTTTCTGAAACGCAAAATGAAACTGTCAAAGAACGCCTCTAACTAACCTATGCCCTCGGGCTGCCCCATTCACCAGCAGCCAGA